TATTTATTCAGTACGCATATTTTAGTATAAATAAATTATTTTTGTGCCCAAAACTAGAGTTTTCAAAAAAACAATCCCAAAAAATATTTATTTGTTTTTTCGTTTACATTTCAAAATTAAACGCAAATTTTAACGCAAAAATATTTAGTTTGAATTTGCATTCAATTTAAAAAAATATTTCAACACAAACTTGACCATATTTTACAAAAATAATAAAAAAAGGATAAAATATTTGTGTTTAATTTCGAAAAGTAAACGCATATCTATTATATTATATTTGCGTTTAATTTTAAAACTAAATGCAAACTAAACTCCAATCCATACTATTATAAAAGACAACGCCAAATAAACGCAAATAAAACGCTGTGCACAACTCAACGTTAAATTTGCGTTTGCCAGATCTGCTAGGGTTAATACAGCTAAAATCACAACAACTGTAATCTGTCAAACTCAACTATATAATTCGTTTTTTGAACCATCCCCTTACTTTCTAGTCAAAAAATTAACTAAATTGTAATTTCGGAAAATCTGTTGGCCTGAACAAATTCATCTGTCAGATGATCATGATAAAGTGATCAATTTTTATAAACAAAGCAAAGTAACCTTCGAAAGCATATTAAATCCCAATTAGTTTTTAACTTATTTGAAATTAAAATGGTGTTTCAACTAAGTACCACATCTGGATAACTTAAGGAAACACTGCAAAAAAAAAATGCAAAGCAAACTTTTAAGAATATAACATTTATTTTGACTGAAAAAGAGTACATAATAATAAGTTACACTAAAACTTTATAAATCCCGATTTATACTCTCCTCTGCCTAAAAAAATCTCCGACCGAGCAGTCCGGCCGAGGTGGTAACCCTATTATTTCAGGATATTGTTGTGGGGTTGTTACATTGTCTTATTTATTGTTAGTGAATTTCTTATAATTTATTGCTATGATTATTTTATATTTGATTATTCGACAAAAAGGGTTGATATGTTTACTTGTGATAAATATTATATATTGTATTTTGGGAACATGGAATGAAAAATTGTTGAAAAATCTTTGTTAACCCACGTTTACCAAAGCTTGGAAGTCAAATTATGAACAATAAAAAGCTTATTGAAACTAATAACCACAAAACATTCATTAAACGACAAACCATTAACAAAACTCCTGTAAAAACTACATTGTTAAACAATACAACAAACAAAAAATAGAACCATGCTTTTTGTGTTTTATTTCATAATCTAATTTCCTTTCTGGCATTCCTCTTATCTGGAAGCGAAGTTTTCGATTCTACAAATCGCCCTGGATCACTGCTGTTTGTTAGAATAGAATAGAATAAAAATCCCCAAAGCAAAATTAAATCAAAACTTAAGAAAGGTACATTTTTTGTTTAGATTTTTCGAAAGCAAAATTAACATTAAATCAAACAGAATTCTTTTTGAATACTCGGTGATTTAATTTTGTTAGTATTAGGAAAGATGATATACTAGCTCAGCTCAATCTTTGTCCCTTTTGGGGTGTTTGTATTTGTATGTATTTATTTTAGTTATGTGTAAATATAAAGTTGCCCAATAAATTTATTATCATTATTATTATTTTTAAAGCAGTCTGGAGAAATGTTACAAGTACAAATTATAAACACTAAAATGCTTAAAATAAAAATAGTGCCAACGAGAAAAAACTTAATATAATTATCATTTCTTATAATTGGGTAAGAATTTCTCAAACGGGCCACCTGAATTAGGTCATAATTAGTTTTTGTTTGTAGATACATTTTTTCGATAGTATTTTACATCACTAACACAAATCCTAAAGGATTTTGTAAAAAAAAAAAATTTAAATTGACATATTCGTGATATTAAAAGTCAAAGTTTTTAATAATTAAAAAATAAAAAAATTCATTATGGCTGAACTAATTATCCGATTCCAACGATATAACTAGCGTTGGAATCTTGTTTTGACATAGATTCTTTGTTATTTTTTTTAATTGTCCAATTTTCATTTAGGTCGATTTTTTTTTTGTTTTTTTTATACCAAATTCGGAAATAATTGGCTTCTGCGCCAGCTATCGACTCGAAAAAAAAAACACATATACTCCAATCATTTCTCGAAATTATGCTGCTGAGAAAAAAAATGGCCCGCAAGTTGACAAAAAGTTATTCGTCCTTTTGTGGGTGCACCGCGGTGGCCGCTCACGCTCCGAACCGTGTACGCTGTAGGCTCTTGTGACGGTGGTCTGGAACAGGGTTGCCAGTTCTACTGATTTTTCAGTAGATCTACTGATTTGCTGATTGATCTACTGATCTACTGAAAAATGTTGTAATCTACTGAAAAAAAATATGACGTTTATTTATTATGGTTATCAATAATATTTATTTAATCACTTACATTTATCTTGCATTAAATTCCGAACGCTCTATTTAAATAAAGTTACAAGCATTTTTAAAATTCTAACGCGTCTTAGCGCTTGATATGTTGGTAATACTGACCACGGGCCACGGGCCGTAATCCCCGACGGGGATTCCCCGTGGTAATTTACGGGGGAATTATGTCAAAGAGAAGTAGTTATGTGAAAGACCATGGGGACGGGAACTTCCCAGCTGCTTTTTCTATGGCTGCGACTGAATTTGTTTTCAAGTAAGAACTATAACTATAAAATAAAGATTCCGGTCCATCAAAGAAAAAAAAAATATGATCAACATCGGAGTTCGAAGGTATGTTTATATATATTTTTTAATGAAAATGTTTGGTTATAATCAAGGTTATAACACATTTTTTGTTACTATTTTGTTACCCTTTGTTACTTTTTTTAATTTCTAAATAAATACATATTTTTTCGACGTTATAGTTTTATTTTAGTACCCTTTTCTGAAATTTGTAGAGCAAAAAATAAGTCTACTGAAATCTACTGAATATTTGACTACATATTTACTGAAGGAATTAAAACCGAACTGGCAACCCTGGTCTGGAATGGTACTTACTTTTCTAATCATAATTAATTTGTGACCGTAATAATTGACTTAGAGCTTGTTTTTTTGTATTAAATTCAGAAATAAATAGGCTTTATATTGGTATATACAAAAATAATTTTCGCTCATTATATTTTATTATGTTTTACAAAAAAATAAATTTTTACACATTTTAAAAAATTATTCTGCCCTTATAAATAAATGTAAAGCCTTGTGGTTTTTGTTTGTTTTATTAAGAAATTGATTGGCTTTGCTGTGTGGAAGTCAAAAATATTTTATGTCCATAGTATTTTTATAGGTGTAGCGCCAAACTAAAGAAATAAATTTTTAAAGTACACTTTGTGGTAAAATAAAAGTTATGCTTTTTTCGTGATGTAAACAAAAATCTGTACCTACATACTAATAAACGTATTTGTGTTCTTTTTTCTATATGGAGCTCGGTCATACATTACATAAGTTTAAATTATAAAATATTTTTATTTTGTTTATATAATATATTATAAGTAACAGCGCCTAAACAGCAAAGAAAATTTTGTTTTAATCTAAAATCTAGACAGGAAAAGTGACAGTATTGCCTGCCTGGACAGCAGGAAAAGTGACACTTTCTCGATTTTAAAAAGACAGTCTATCATCCATGATATTTAACCATGATTAACCATGATGGTTAAAAATAAAAAAATAGTACGAAAATAATAATTTAATTTGACTTCTGAATAATATTTTACATTTCAATTTTGTACAATTTGCTTTCGTCGATAGATGAAATAATCTTACAAATAACATGTTTCGGTTTTGCGGCTGGTTGAAATACAAAAAAATACAAAAAAAACCGAAACTTTTTTAAAAAAATTCTTAGCCCAGTCAAAAAAATGTTGGGGCGTCGTAATTTGTGAGTTTACGGGTCTCTGTAAACTTGCGATAAGCATTTCTTTTTTATTATTAGATATTACTTATTTTGTGTGACCGAACTAAATATAGAATAAATTAAATATTTCGATTTAGTCACTTTAAGAAAATTATTAAAATATAACTTTAGTTTTTAAAAGAAAGTTACAAACTAAATCAAGGAGTAGAAAATTTGACAGATAATCCACGTGAGTACCAAGAAGTACCAAGTGAGTACCAAGAAAAATGTAATTTTTAGTTTGGCGCCTTATAAAACAAAATATAATGAATGCAAATTATTTTTGTTTATATCAGTATAAAGCTTATTTATTTCTAAATAAAATACAAAAAAAACAAGGCTCCAAGTCAATTATTAAGGTCACAAATTAATTTTAATTAGAAAAGTACCATTCCAGACCACCGAAAGACGTCCCGTCGCAAGCGCGTACAGCATACACGGTTCGGAGCGTGAGCTGACACCGCGCGCGGCCACAAAAGGACGAATAACTTTTTGTCAACCTGCGGGCCATTTTTTTTCTCAGCAGCATAATTTTGAAAAATGATTGGAGTATATGTGTTTTTTTTTTTCGAGTCGATAGCTGGCGCAGAAGCCAATTATTTCCGAATTTGTTATAAAAAAAACAAAAAAAAATCGACCTAAATGAAAATTGTACAATTGAAAAAAATAACAAAGAATTTATGTCAAAACAAGATTCCAACGCTAGTTATATCGTTGGAATCGGATAATTAGTTTAGCCATAAAGATTTTTTTTATTTTTTAATTACCAAAAACTTTTACTTTTAATATCATGAATATGTCAATTGAAAAATTTTTTTTTACAAAATACTTTAGGATTTGTGTTAGTGATGTAAAATACTATCGAAAAAATGTATCTACAATCAAAAACTAATTTTGACCTAATTCAGGTGGCCCGTTTGAGAAATTCTGACCCAATTATAAACTCCCCCTGAGAAGTAAATTTACTTTTAAAGATGATTAAGTTACTTAAAATGTTCCGACTTTTATCGAACGTTTGGCCTAGGTAGCGAGGAAATGTATATATTTATGTATAAGATATATTTCATATTATAGAATTAGGAGACAGGTAAGTTTTGATGTCTAAATGAAAATATTTTTATGGGTTATACTTACGTAAATATAAAGTAGCCTTGAAATATACAATTGCATTTATTTATTGTCGCTGGCAAAGTTGAAGGCGGTCCAGGATTACTCATAGGTTCTTGTTTATGTCGAAATATATCTGCCAGTTGCTCTATTCTTTGGGATGATTCCAACATGGCTTCGGCTGACAAATCATCTAAGGTAACTAAATCCACTTAAAAATTGTATATTTAGAAATTGTTTAAGTTTAAAAGCGCTTTTCTTACAATAATAATCTGATGGGTTTTTAAAGGATGGGCATGGATAACCAACATTTGCAAAATAGGACAACATATCCTTTCTTTTACCGCTAAACATAGTTCTACCAGCAGATAAAAGCAATATTCTTGAGGCCATAGTAAAAATTTCATATGTTGGTGGATGCATTGTTAGTATAACAATTTTGCCTAAAACAGTAATATATTGATGATAACAATTAAATAAAGCAGCAGATAAAGCATATTTAAGAATTTTTAGTCATTTTTAAATATGGTAAGAGGCTTAGATCCTTGCCAAACCAAAAAGCTGCCACAGTAGCTAATGTTCCTATTAGGGAGTGGTGTTGTCATTTTCGTGTTCCAATGAAAATGCATTCAGACGAAGGCAAAAATTTGTAATCAATATTGTTCCAGAATGTCTATAGGATTATTAACAATCGGAAGACGAGGACGACCTCATTACATCCGCAGTCTGATGGAATGGTAGAACGAATGAATTAAACGATAAATCGATAACTGTCAAAAGTATTTTCTGATCATCAAAGAGACTGGGATCGTTTTCTTCATCTGTTCCTGTTGGCGTACTGTTCTTTTATCCACGTAAACTTCGTGAAGTTCGTTTACCCTGTGACCTAAGGTTTGGCTGACTACCAGGGAAAGATATTGCTAAAGAAGATTATGTCAGCAATTAGCGGTATCTCCTGTTGCAGTTTATAGTCGCCGATTAATAGATTTGATCTTCAACGTATCGACAATATCGTTTTTGTCGCACCTGTTTTCAGTATGCAGCAGCACATTTTATTTTGCATTAACAAAAACGCTGGTGGATTGGTGTAGAAGAGATGCGACCCGTTCGATATATTTTGGGGCATATTGGTAACAGGTCGGCGGTGGCCTCTTTTCATCGATCCCACACCTGACACCACATGTAGGTACTGCTGCTAGATACAGGTGCGACAAAAACAATTATTAGGCCTGATATTGTCAAAATGTCGAAGATTAGATTTACCAATCGGCGACTACGTACTGCAACAGGAGATACACCTACTGTTCGTGGAGCAGTGGACGATAGCAAATATTGAAGACGAAGTTATTATAGGCATGGACATTATGAACTCTATAGGGTTTAAACTAAACTTTTAAGAAGGGATATTAAGGGTGAGCTGTGTTACATCGATCAAAAGGGAAGACGATTCGTGTAATGTTAACAGAAGATGCTTTGATACCGGAACGTAGTGAGATGATATTGAAGGCTTTCTTGGACTGTAAATTAAAAGATGGATGTATAATGATGCTTAAGACGAGAAATGATAACAACGTGTCTGAAAAGAAGTGTCTGTAAGAGTAACATTCGCCAACACAGTAGTAACATCAAAAAGACACAAAAAATCGCAGGTACACGTAAACTTAATTATTGGGCGTAGAATCCAGTGGTGTAATCAGTTTTTTAAAGTTAGCTCGTTTTCTTAAGATATTTAATATTTAAGTTTTTGTAACTTTTTGGTTTATTATTTGTGTACATTTTGAGAAAGCCAAAAAGACATAAATAAAACTATATTTTAACATTTGTCAATAATTTATAATATAAGGGTCACATAATAACAAACACAAAATAACTTACGATCGAAGACCTCGCGACCAACCGTGTTACAAAATACCGCGCGCCTAACGTTGGCTAACGGAGGGTCCAGATGCAAGTCGGCACGGGTTCCCGTTTATAGAATGAGCTGAAATTTTTACTGGAAGTATATAAACACGTAATAAATATAATTAGAGGGTATGCGTGAAAAAAATAAAAAATAAGGGACACCCTAATGTATTTATATGTTATCTTCACTTAATTAAAATTTACTTTTTAAAAAAAGATTTTTATTTATTACGATACATTAAAGTTCTAGTAAGCTTAGTTAAAATATAATGAATTTATTTATTGTTACATTTTGTTTTTATACTAAATATTATTTTGCTGACTCCGTGGGATCCCCGCTTCTTGGTGTATCTCTTGGTAATATGAGAAATATGGAATGTTGGTGTTATCTTTGTACTTGCTGATAAGGTGTTTGTGGATGATATAACAGCTCCCCCTTATAAAGAAAAGTCGATACTATAGCATTGACTTTTATTGAGATAGTTTTTCTGAAAGGTTGATTTCTTCGATTGGTTCTCCTAGGTGAAAGAAGGGACGTCTTCTTGGAAGCAGATGTCTCCAGGGTTGCTGGGCGTTTTCTGGTAGCCTTGGTCTTGGTGCTGGAGGAGAGTCATCGTTGAAGTTGGTTACAATAACGGGAGTACGCCATTTTGGTTTGAATTTATAGAGGCTGTAGATTATAATTAGTATAGCAATGAGTACAAAGGTAATAATTGTAGACCAGGAGATTTTGTAATAAATGGTTCATTTATTAGTTTGTCCAATTCTTCGGAATATTGATTGAGCTTGTGATGAGCGATGTTTAAGTCTTCGGTATTTATCTTGTTTAACTTTAATGGCTTTACAACAGTCAAATGGAACTTGTACGGGGTGACTTCTATATGTTACGTTTAGTAATTTTTCCAGTTGAAGTTTTGATTGGATTCGTGTATTTCCAATAAAAGCACTGCATCAGGAATTTAACTGAATTAGTGAAGTAGTTTTAATAGCAGCTGTCTGTGTGTTTTGGTCGTCACATTTGATGGTAACATGTAGGTCTTCGGATACAGAAACAAGCCATTGATTTTTGTTAATTTCATTTACGTTGTAGTCTTCAGCCAGGATTTTTGAAGTTATGCAATTGGTGGGTAATTTCTTTTGAGCTTTGAATAGCTGAGCTTCGCAAATAGCGTTGTCGTCAATTGGATATGGCAGCATATTGAAACAAATTTGTTGAGTGGAAGAAATTGTTTTACATTTTTCTAATTGCAAGTATTGAATTGGTAAGTAAAATGTTGAATCATCATCTCTCGCGATATATTTTATTGTTGTTGGTAAAATGTGAAGGAGACCTGTTCGATTATCTAATAGTGGTATTGGGTAAAGACGATAAAGGGTCTAAAGCTCTCTGGACGTGTAAGAGGGATGTTTAAGACAAAAACAATTCTGGAATCAATTTGGAATGCTTTTAAATCAATTATATAAATTATTATATTAAATATTTTGCAATGTTTAATGGTGATATTTCTATAGGTAGATTATTTCTATTTAGTGACCGGGAAATTTTACTAAGTGATTTCATTAAATCTGAAGGTGTTATTATTGTATTATGAAGTATTTTCAATTGAGCAAATGAGATGGAGTCCAAAATATCATCTAGAGTGTCCTTTATAAAAATATAACTTTCCATTAGTGACTCGCATATGTCTAAGAGTTTGACTTGTGATTCGTATAGCGAAATTTCGGTATCAAAATTGTATAGTTCGTTTTGTATGGTACCAATGTTTTTGTTAAACGTTTGTTCGTCAATTTGTAGGTTTTGTATGGTATTATTAAAGTTCTTGATGACTGAAGTTGTGACTGATATTTGATTTTTTATAAGATTTTTTATCTGATTTTCATCGCGTGATATTTTGTTTATCCAATTATTTAAATATTCTCCATCACTGGCATCAAGATTGCCTGTTATGGATTTCCAAATAGTACCTATGCCGTTCAATAAACCTCGCTTTGGTCTTTGTGAATAATTTTGTGTTCCCGAAAATATTTCTTGATATTTTAAATTGATTGAATCGGATATTTGATTTAGTAAACTAACATGAGTTTTGACTTGTATATTTGTTGCTGCTACTCTAGATATTTCAAGGTGATCCGTAAGTGTACTTAGGACGTTTTTAAGAATTTTTTCGTTAGTTTCCATAGTTTTCTGAATGGGAAGTAAGTCTTTGTAAACTAAAAGTGTCCATTTGTGATTGGATATTTTCATCTGATTTAATTCATTATAAAAAAGTCCGATTGTGTTGTCAACAGGGGTTATTGAATATTGGGTGGAGACGACGGTGGTCAACCCAAAGAGTCTGGCCGAAAATCAGTTCGAAGGGTGTAAAACCGGTGTTGCGATTTTTAGTGTTGTTGTAACAGATGACCGCATAAGGTAATATGTTTGATGGGTGTTCTTTAGGGTTTTCACTAACATGAGCGCGTATCATTTCTGTCAGGGTTGCGTGAAACCTTTCTATTGATCCGTTTGATTGGGGGTGATTAACACTGAAAAAGGTGAGTTTGATGTCGTAAAGTTTACAAAGGTCTCTCGTGAGTGTGTTATCAAATTCGCGTCCGAAGTCGCAGTGGATTCTTAATGGTGTACCGAAGTGTTGAAAGTACAAAAGGAGGGTGTTTACTACCGAACTAGCTTTTTTATCTTCAAGGGCATATGCTTGTGTGAACTTAGTAAGTTCATCACGAACTGTTAAGCAGTAATTTTGAGATGGGTATTCGAAGATATCGATGTTAATTCTTTCGAATGCCGTTTTGGGCGTTTCGGTAACGACAAGTGGAGAGCTGAGATTTTTACGGCAAATTTTAGTTTTTTGACAGATTTCGCAACTTTTAACGAATTTTTCTATGTCTTTCGACATGCCTTGCCAGTTGTACTTTTCTTTAATTCTGCGGATTGTTTCGTTAATACCTCTGTGTAAATTATTTTTTCCAATGTGATATTGTTCGAGTATGATAGGAATTTGGTCGGGATCAGGAGATGTAATAAGGTTTTGGCATATTTTTAATTTAATATCCTTTTCAGCAAAAATAAATGAAATTATTTCAAGAATTGGTAATTCAATATTATTTTCAACACAATATGTTTTTCGTAGATCAAATTCGTTTTGGAATTTAAACAGAATATAGAACAGCCGTTCTACAACTATTTCGGGGTCAAATGGTAATGGAGAGAATTGTTAAGGAATCCGTTCTGCAGTTAGGGTTTTCTGCGAAAATGTCGTCTAAGATTTCATTGTGAAGATCTTTTAACTTGTTTTGCCAAAAAATGCTACTATATTTTTGTGTGATTTGTCTAGTAACTGTGCGTTTGAAATGTATATTTTTGAGTAATCAATAAGGGATTTTGTCCTGTACAATTCAGTAAAAATATTTTATTCGTCAAATATTTTAACTTCGTCATTTTCTTCGTTGTCACTTTCGGGATCGTATTGGTCGGAAGGACCGGGTTGAGTTTCGTTTGAAGGAAATACAGATATTTTTGCTTGGATTTTGGAACATTCTT